CTCTCTGGTTGCTATGGATCTTTGCAGTCACAGCAGCCTCTACAGGGAAGAAGACCTATTTAGTTAATATGTCAAAGAAATCTAATGGCTCCATTTGATATCCAGGGTCCTGATGGGCACTTCGACCAAGGCTTTGGTCTGTCACTGGAATGCAATCTCTCACTAAAACACCACTGATTCAGGGAAGATCCTTAGTTTACTGAAGAGCTATGGACGCTGGAAAAAAAAGCAATCCTGGTAAAAAATAATAAGTAACTCAAGTAGGAACTCAGTGGCAGTAAGAACATCAAAACAGCAGCATTTTTCTGTTTTTATTACATTTGTGAATTGCTGCTTGGTGTGTCTTTTCAAAGTACTCTTTGATGGGCCAGAAGAGAATTTGTTCTGTAAGACGTTTGTTTGCCATTTGGAGGATCAAATCATTCATTTACTCAGAATTGGAGGCCAGCTGTACAAGTTTGATAGAAGTATGAGAGACTACACATTTTGAGATTATATGGGATGACTTTCAGCTTGTTGATCCTGAGGAACTAGACTGCTGTCAGCTTTATGAGGTAGTCCAGACAGGAAGCATGACTGATGAGCTACTTTATTATACCTTATTGTAAGGCTACATTAACTTGAAAGTCTTCTCCCCTGTCACCTTTACAGTGCAAGAAACTTAGGGAGGGTTCCTTCTGATATGTTTACCATGACCACATTCCCTTTGCAAGTTAAGCTGTCTCATGTCTGACTGTCCCTTTGACTCTCTGTGGCTTTTCACCCTGTCTCTCAAGGTCATTCTTGTATAGCATTACAGCAACTTCCTTGGTGACATTAGCCTTACCATCTGTGAATTGGATTCTAGTTCTTATCATCTGGTGGAAATATAACAGGAGGATGGATCAGAGTGGTAGTGAATATATCATTGGGATAGGGGATGGTGTCTCCAGCCTTAAAACAGGCAGTGGTACATGCCTTCCATAAAGTACCATCACTTGAACCACCTGTTATAGACCCATGTTGACTTACTTTGAAGGGAGATTGTGGATGAGGTAGTGACCCTGTAGTTGTAGAACATACTAGAGATGAATGGATTTAGACCATTTTCAATCTTGTTTCAGATCTAACTATGAATCTGAAGTAGTATTGTTCTTACAGATGAGCTGTGGTAGACCTGGGATAGGACTGGTGTGACCTTCTTGCTTGATATTTCAACTACCTTCAACATTTCAACTACATTCAACAACTACCTTTTAGAACATCTTTGGAGATATAGGACCATTGTAGTTTACCTCCAGCTGGCCGCAGGGAGATTCCATTGCAAAGAAGCACAGGACTCAAACCCCTCATCCTTCATAATATCTACATGAAGCCTCTGGAGGAGGTTGTCTCTTGGTATGGAGTCAGGTATCATCTATATGTGAATAATGCTCAGTTTTGCATTTGACTCTGGACCAGTTGGGAAATGTGGTTGAGCCTCTGTGTTGATGCATGGAGAATGTTATATTCCAGATGGGAAGCAATGGACCTAGGATCAATTCCAACTAGACTGAGTGGTTGTGGGTTCAGAAACCAAGTGAAATAGGTGTTCTCCATTTTTTGTTCTGGATAAATCATGAATAACCATCATGCTGAACCATTGCATAATCTCAGGCAGCTGTAGTTAGAGACATGGGGCTTTTATATATCTCCTTCTTGGGTGACTTTCTTTTTTTTAACCTTTTTCTGAGTCAGGAGGCCCTTCTTACAGTCACTTAGTTCTTGGCCACCGTTCAGGACTGTTTCAATGCCTTTTTCTTGGAGCTGTTCGTGAAAACCTCATGAAAGCTATAGCAATAAATAGTTACAGATTTGCTAAGGTGGTGTGATACCATTTCTTGTAATTACATTTGATTGTTAGCTATTCTTCTCCCAAATAAGGGCGCTTTCAGCCCTTATTACCTCTTTAATGTGTCATCAGAGCAGTAGAATTTCTCGATGAGGCTTTTATGCAGCAATCCCCTTATCTTTTTTATTTGACAAGAACAAGAATGGGAAGTATGTAAACCATTGATGGGTGACACCATGGATGCAATCTCATCTTTTTTCTTCTCATTGGCCTTCTCGCATGCATGCAGCTTTCTAAGCATGTGATCTTTTTCATGTGAACGTGCAGATGCCATCCCACCCCTTTAGAGGAAAAACTAAACAGACCACAGAATGGCAACCTGTGGCTCAAGAGATGCCTTCTTCCAGCACCACATCTGCACCTCTGAAACATTCCCTAGAGTATGCCAACAAAATGTGGTGACAAAATACCGTTCTGGTAGAGAGAGGTTCCCTGAGGATGGACTCCACCAGGAGTCCAAGAGCTCAGAAGACTAAACCTCTGGTCTGAGTGACTGACTGATAATGTTGATACTGCAACATTATCCTGGGACAAGTATATTTGTTTTCATTCATGATGAAGTGCCATATTTTGCACAGAGCGTTGTGTTCAGAGCTGTTTTAAGAATGGTAATGGGAACACAAAGCTTCCATTCCCACCTTTAATCCCAGACTCAAAATCAAAGGAACATTTGCCAACATTTGGTCCCATCCCTTTTGGCAATATAGTATCACTGAAAGCTTTTTGCAGCCCACAGAAGATAAATTGTAGGCCATAATCCAACAGAAGTTATCTGCATTGGTTTTGATATCCTGTGTCCCTCCCGCCCTTTTCTTTATGCCTTTTGTAGAAATAATATTATCTTCAAAGGATAATCAGATTCTTTTCCTGCTTTAAGATTAGCCGGATCTTCTTGAAGATAATCTCTAACATAATGTGATTCTCTATGATACCTTTACAACACAATCCATCCTTACGAATCTATTCAGAGATAAAGTCCACTGAATTCAAGAACCTTTAATCATTGTTCTATCTCCAGATTCTTTGGGGCGGGGAAATAGGGAAATTCTATTACAAAACATCATTCTGTTTAATCTTAATAAATTGTATTTTCTGGTCATCTTTTCCCTGAAATTTAACTCATGAATGTTTCTCATTTATCATTTATATTTGAATGCTACATGGAATTTAAAAACATGTAGGCTACCAGAAATATAGAAATAGATATGAAAAACATTTCATCAGCACATGTTACAGAATAAATGATCCATCAGTCATTGTTTCTTGTTTCCCATGTAGGTTCAACAGCAAACTATTTCTAGGGGAAAAGCTGACACAATTCTCATATTGCCATTCTGCCCCCTAATGGAAGAAAAATAGAAAATAAACTTTATTTATGAAGTAAGGAAATGCTTCTTCATTACAAATATCTGTCTACCAGGGGTATGTTTATTTACCATTGAAGGCTACCAAATATTAATAAACAATTAAACTATTCATTAAATTCTGTTTTAATGAAGCTGTTTGGATTTTATGTAATTTCTACTTACTTCACAAAGAAAAGCACATATAAAGTTCTTTATTGTCTGTTTTACAGACCAAATTTTAAATCTTATTAAATTTCTGTCCTTGCCTGAGGGACTATCCCATTAAATGCTGTACAAGGACATGTATAGGGTTTATATTTAAAGTGGGGCAGCATAAATTATCTCCCCATCAAATAATTTAAACAGCATAGTTCTTAAACCGATCTATATGGTCCTGCATTTTGGGACACCAAAAACGTTCAACTTTCAATGGTTATTCCATTTCTGAGAGAAAACTTCTGATTCTATTTTGAGCATGATTGCTCAGCATTGCCATATAAATTTAAGTGTTTTAAATAATATAAATTTAAGTGTTTTAAATAATGAATGTATATAAATGTATATTCATATACCCTTATAAGCTTCTCTCTTCAGCTAATTAGATAATATATGTATTCACATATTGTTTCATTAATCAATTAGTCTATATCCAGCTTTTTAACTCATTCAATATTCAAAGGCACTTCCAATCTAAAATCAAGTATAAAAAGTTAAAAGCGGATTTAAAATAATTAAAGTATTAGTGGATAATCTAAACACCCTGGATGAAAAGGAAGATCAATTTTTGTTCAGAAAGCAGAAAGAATGGGAGCTGAACTGATCCAGCATTAGACCATCTATGTGACACATCCAGGACCTGGAGTTGCATCTTCAAAGATACACACTTGAGTTTTAGCTGCCTTTCCACCAATAATCTGAATTGAATTCCTTATTAAATTCTGTGTTTTGTACATTGTGTTTAGGATGACTTTAGTCCATGCTTATTGGAATTTAGTCTTGGAAAATAGAAATAAGTTATATCTATAAGTAGCAATCAGCAAAATATTGTTGGGTATCCAGGGTCAAAAAGAAAAGGAGGAGGAGGAATCTCATTTTCCTTGTCTCAGGTTCATCTTCCCCAATCTGATTGTTTCCAGATGTTTCCTCAGGGTCTCTGGCTGTGAATTCTAAGAGTTGTAGTCCCAACATTTCTTCTGAATGCCGTTTTGGTTTGGTCTCTTGCATAAGTTGAAATAAGTAAAAAAAGAATGACATAACAGTACATTGCAAAATATTTCTTTTAGTTAAACAAACACTATCTTTCTCAAGTTTTTGTTAAATTCTTTTCCTGATTTACATGAATCATAGAAATAGCGAGGTGACTTATACAGGGGACCTGTGATGGGCACACAAATACACAGGTGACATTTAACTTACTCTCATTAGATTCTTTATACTAGCCTTTTCCAGCCACACATCCATCAATTGTGCTGGACTTCAACTTCCATCACCAAGCTATACTGCCTGCTATATGGCGTTGTGTGGCTGCAGTCAAGGGGGGGGGGGAAGAGTCAGAAATCCTATATTCCCATTTGGAGGGAAAGGCTTTAAAATGGGGCGCAACTGATAAGACCTTCCCTTTGGCGCCGTCTGTCTCGCACACCCTTGCCCCTTCTTTCTGCTTCAGGAAGCGTGAAGCGCAGCGCAACTAATGGGGGAATCGCGTCAGTTTCGCTCCGAAGAAGAGGAGGGGACGGAGCAGGCGGGCGGACGCTGGGTTAAAAGAGAGCGGCTGCTGCGCGTTCGTGACATCACCCCTCCCTGTTTGCTTATATACTTAGGGGACATCCGGAGCTCCCTTTAGGGTCCAGTTCTTTAAAAATCAGCTGAAGGCAGCAGCTCTTTTTCTGCGCGACTCTCTCGCACCCAGATAGCTTGCCTTTTTGTGTATGGACTTCACTTTATAGAGGGAAAAGGGAGAGCGTGGGTGGCAAGCATGGTGAAGATGCAGCTGGTGTGCGCGATGCTGTTGGCCTCCGCTTCCTGGAGCCTGGGCTCAGGTAAGCTCCGAGGTGCTCTCGCTCGCTCGCTCTCTGGCAGGGCTTCCCTTCCGATTGGGAGAAGGATTTGGGCTAATCCGACAGGGCTGCTACTATGGGAGGAGTTTGTGTTGTCCAATGCAGGGAGGCTAATGTCTGGTCAATTTCAAAAAAGTTAGCTTAAAATATAAAGCAGTTCTTCTAAGATAATTGCTTTGAGAGAGAATCTTGTTGGTTTAAAATGTGACAGGCAAATGCAGATTTCTACAAAGCGTTTATAATCGGTTCATTGATCAGAATTGTACCGAAACAGCTACATATTCTCTTTCTGAAGAGGTTCTTTGAGGAAGACCATCCTGGGACCGCGGCTAGATTTACAGACTTATTGAAATGCACCTGTAAATTAGCACAGGGTAGAGAAAATTCCATCCATCCAGTCTCCAGACTTTTAGACTCTGTAATGGACTGTGGAAACAGCTTTGAAGAGCAGGAGGAAGATCTGCAACCAAGATAACCATCAGATAAAAAGAGGCAGAAATGTAATTTGAGAAAGTATCTCAGACTTAACCCTCCTTGGTTCTCTTCAAAATAAAGGTGGTGGAGGGGAGACATTCAAACTTGCAAACTTCTGTTCCTGTTATTTTATAATAAAACCAGCATTAGCATTTATGACTTTGGTTTGCATGGAGTGGTCTAGCTATAAGGGATTACAGTTTCCAACTTCCATCTTGGACCTTTTTCAGCTGGAGTTTATGGAATAGAGGCTCACAGTTCATCATAGATTTTAATGGATCAGTTTTTCCTAGCATGTTGGAAATACAATTCCTAGCATTCTGTAAATATGAAATGCATTACATGGCAGAAGGCTGATAAACATAATCCAGAGATGTTGGGAGATGTGGGTGCACACGGTTCATTACATATCTATATCACGACAAGTTGAATTACATGTCAAAAATGGGTAGACTGAGGTTTGTAGGGTTAATATTGTTGCAGACCAAAACTCCAAGGTCTGCCATTCACACCAGAAATAAATTAGCAGGGGAAAGAAATGGAATGAATATTTCCCCTATGCACCTGTAGTGCATAGTAATACAAATGCAAAGCTCATTCCTCCTCCTAAAGGTGTTCTTTATACACCAATAATTATTGAACTAGATATTTGCTTGTAAACAAAATTGGTATAAATAAATGTACTTCTAGTAGTCTATAACATGCACCTGCACCTCCCCCATAAGCATATATACTTTCATACAAATACATCAAGGGAATAGAATAGAATAGAATAGAATAGAATAGAATAGAATAGAATAGAATAGAATAGAATAGAATAGAATTCCTTATTGGCCAAGTGTGATTGCACACACAAGAAATTTGTGTCCAACGCATAAGCTCTCAGTGTACATGCAAACAACAAAGTGATAAATTATAGATCTTAAATCGTAAGATGCAATCATAATCATAAGATACAAACAACAAGTGATAAATCATATCAATAGGAGAGGGCAATCGGAAAGATCAGAAGGTGAGAGAGAGGAGAAGATGATCAGGATAATCGCAATACAGCTTACTACATGGGTAGATATAAAAAAAATATTATTCTCCTTATAATGTTTCCAAAATTATTCAAAGTAAAACCATAGATTAAAATCTAACCTTTTCCAAGTGCAATATAAAATCTATAAGTTTACACAACACTCTTGAGATTCATATGTTTATGCCATATACACTCATTTTTGCTGTTTATTTGGGCTTCTTAAGAATGAACATCATAATTTAATGTATAGTTGTAATGAATCCATTAAATTCTTTATAAATCAGTTAGTATTTTTTTACTAAGTTATGTCTGTTAAATTTTGTTTCCAGAGCATATTTTAGAATTGAATATATTTTTTCCTGCAGATTGATTTATTCTAATCCAATATATTAAATAATTTTACTTTTAAAATTTAAATTTAGCTGTAACTCATTACTAAACTCCTGTGTAGTTTCAAATATTTGGGCATCATAACAGTCTAAATCAATAAGCAAAACAATAGTACTTAATCTTTGTTTTGATAGGCAAATAATGCCTGTGTTTGTTGAAGGCAATATATCTATTTCAGCTTTTTAAATTTCTAAGCTTTATTTTAATAATGTTCTAATTACAACCCTGCAGGATTAATATAGTCATATAAAAATATAATTACATCATCACAAGTATGATAAAAGGAGCTATGTTCTTCATTGGAAGACCATTTCATTTTTTCTTTTTGTTTGCAAATTGGAAAATGAATATTAATATAAATCAGTGATATACATTACAAATTATTGAGATTCCTTGAGTTGGATCATAATGGACATAATACAGACATAAATTCCTTCAAAATTTATTGATCCAAAGGGTCAGATTAAATGAAATCAATAAAATGTTTCACTATTATTAATGGCAATAATAATGCTAACAACTTTGTTGTGATCCATGAATATCTGAGAAGCAATAATCTCACTACGTTTTTGAGAAGCCCTGATTTTGATTACATTTATTATAAGAATTAGTCACTATGTGAACTATAGAACAGTCTGATGAAAATGCTTAGCTTTTTCTCATGAGTATTACCATTATGTATATAGTTTTCACTTCACTCTTTTGAAATATATTTTCATAATATCATTTCTGGATCCTGTCCAGATAAATTCCCCTAATCCCCATGCCCTATTTTCTGAGTTCTTGGGTTCTGAATTCTTTGTCATTAGCATTTGAAGGATTTGTTTTAATATAAGGACTATACAGTAATTTGGATTCAAAGGAGGAAATATGTTTCAGAGCATGCAGGGACAACACATTGCACCTGTTGGTGACTCCTTAAAGAGCTCTCTCTTTTTCTGGGCTCATACATGGTCCTTGGGGGGAGGGTGGTGGAATTGATTTAAGGCAATGCCTATTGGTTCAGAATGTGCATGTTCATATATTCCATATCATAATTTCTTCTTCAAATCTGGATCTCTGCATAACCCTGAAAAATAGATCCATGAAGTGTATTATTTCTCATTCATCTTCCACCCTTATAGATACTTTTTTTAAATGCAAGCACCTATTTCTCACTTTATTTCTTTTATTTTTCTGTCTTCCCACTATCCTGGCAACATTTTATTTTTTAATAAAATATAGTATTTTATGCTTTTTGTGAGCCATTTGTACTATAGTGCATTTAAAAAGCATTAATATTTTTTAAAGAGACAGATTTTACCACTGGTTTTCTTGCAACAGTGACCCTACTTTATAATATTGTTTTACTACACAGTACTTTATTGAGGATGTAAATTTGAGAAGCAAGATAAAAGCAACATATTAATCATATTGTATAAGTTACTAATGACTTGGGTCTATTAAAATACATGGAATAACAGCAGCAGCAATAAATCACAAGAGTATAGCTATTTGTATCAACTGGACTTATTTTCAATCTGCATAGGATTGTTATTTTGTCACTCACAATTATACTCAACTATAGAGTTTAGATGATGATGAGTAGATAAAAACATAGTTTTCCTTTTAACATATCATCCTTCTTTTATTAAAACATTCTTTATGTCCTTCTAACCCTGAACATGGCAATGACCAGGAAATTCAATTAAACTCACTGAAACTTTAAATCTCTTTTCATGCTACATGTACAGTATCCATTGTTAATAATACATCAGTGTAAAATATATGAATATTTCTGTAACTTACATATTCCCCATAGAACAGGGCTGTCAAACTGCTGGCTCATGGGCATCATACGGAGGCTGCGCCCACCCCAGTTCCGGCAACGCAAAAAAAAGTCACAATACATTGTGACACATCACGTGATGCAGCGAGTTTGACACCCGTGCCGTAGAAGATACATGTTAACTGGCTTCCATTTGAAAGGATGTTTGGAATTATTCAATCTATAAAAACATAAGAACTTCTTTTAAATATGTACAGCACATGCTGTCAGTCAGAAGTATCTTAATTTAGAAATTAAATCTAATTTCATATCCTATGACTTTCCTATTGGTGATCAGATCTTTAAATGTTTCAATTGACAAATAATAAACTGTTTTCATTACTAGATATGTTTTTTTCCAATGAAATGGCATAAATTAACAAACATACATTAAAGAAAGCAGCTTTTGCCAAACATTTATTTTAGCCAGTTCTTAAGCCTAAATTATCTTTAAGAGATATTTCTAAATGCTATATGTGAAATCCAAATGCTAATGATTTATAATGCAGTAGTAAACATATGTTTCTGTTTAACTTGCAGATTCAGAAGAGGAAATGAAAGCCCTAGAAACTGATTTATTGACTAATATGTACACATCAAAGGTAATGCTTTTTTGTACCCTCTTTTTAGGATTCAGGAATACTCATAGCAAACATATATATTTAAATGTATAACAATACTATACATAAATGTTGAATATAAGAAATAAGAAAAAGGGCCTTTAAATCAAATACAATACATAAGAACAAGTGCGGGTAAAGAGACAGTGTCAAATAATATTTTATTCTTTGTATTATGGATATATTGCTTAACTAGCTAGTACATTCCCACCAGCAAGCAATTATGGGATAATATCAAGTTATTGGCAGAAGTTATATTTCTAGACAGAATTTGTTTGATAAAAGCTATGTTAACCTCAAGTCACATAGCAATATTAGCTTTTCTTGTAATGCAAATTGAGCACACCAAAACAAGGAAACCCTTACAAGGAATTTTTAACTCTTCAACATCTTCATAAACAATTTAGATGAGGGGATAGAAGGGGAACTCATCAGATTTGCAAATGACACTGAGCTGGGGGGAATAGCCAACACCTTAGAAGACAGTCAAGATACAAAAGAATTTTAACAGATTTGAACACAGATTTGGGCCCTATCCAACAAAATGCAATTTAGTAGTGAGAAAGGCACTTAGGCAAGAAAGACCAAATGCACAGAATAAGTGATACCTGGCTCAACAGCAGTAACTACGAGAGGGATCTAGGAGTCCTAGTGGACAACCACAAGTATCAGCCAACAGTGTGCTACAGCTGCCAAAAGAACCAGTGGAGTTCTAGGCTGCATCAACAGAGGGATATTATCAAGATCACATGAAGTGTTAGTACTACTTTATACTGCATGGTGAGGAATACGGCATCTAGTTTTGATCATTACAATACAAAAAAATATGTTGAGATTCTAGAAAGAGTGCAGAGAAGAGCAGCAAAGATGATTAGGAGGCCAGAGGTTAAAACATATGATGAACGGTTGCAGTCTAATGAATGGTTGCAGCCTAATGAAGAGAAGAACTAGGGTGTGACATGATAGCAGTCTTTTAATATTTGAGGGGATGCCATAGAGAAGAGGGGGTCAACTTGTAACCAAGGAAAGATTTAAGGGGAATTAAGGGGAAATTTCATGACAGTGAAAACAATTATCAGTGGAATGCCTTGCCTCCAGAAGTTGTGGTTGCTCCATCACTGTAGATTTTTAAGAAGAGAGTGAACATCCATTTGTCTGGAATAGTACAGGATCTCCTGCTTGAGCAGAAAGTTCAGCCTCCAAAATCCCTTCCAACGCTATTATTCTGTGAACACAATACATTTGGTGTGCAACAGAATTTTGATGTCCCTCATATTTGATCAAATGTCAGGATCTCACAAATTCAAAATATATAACATGTGCTTTGACAAGCATATAGTTCCCCCCTTGCCAAATCATCTAAATACACTTCCATCTGTGATTTGAGAATGTAAGCAAATTTACAATATTTTGCTGTCAAAAATGTATTGCATAAACATGAAATCCTGTTATGCAGTTGGTTATATTTTTCAAGGAATAAAAAAGAAAGAAAAGGATGTATTTCCTTTAGATTTTGGTAAACTGCAGTCAATATTATTATTACTTTAGGTTCATCAGTGAAAATTTGGATGACCATTATTTATAATATTTCTAGTTCATTGCATATTTCTGTAATATCATATTCTGCATCCAGTCATGGCATTAGTTATGCTAGAATATACTATTACTCCTCTTATTCAAAAGTGAATAAATGTCATCTATTTCTCTTTAGGCTTATTACAAAGTAAGTTTTTTTTCTGGAAAACATAAAGCATTCACTAAATTAATAAGAGTCTGGATTAGTAAGAAATATAATCTCACTTTCAAGCCTATAATACTGAAATCCAGATGATGGGCAGGACAACTGATAAATCAATCAAGTTGTTGTTGCAAACCATCAACTAAAAATCAAATTACCCCCCTCCATCTTTATAGTTTCATATTAACAGAATATTATAGACTAGGAAATAGCATTTCTTTTCAAGTAAGAAATGTGAACAGAAGCGCTAAGAAGACAAATGTGATATGTGGTTTGATTTATACGAAATTTAAAAGAAACAAAAAAACCCTTGAACCCATAGAAAATGACCATTCACAGGTGCCCCATGTTTTGAAGGGCAACAAAGAGCCCCAAAAGATAGCAAGAATTCACCTTTCAAGGTGGGAAAGTTGATCGGACTGATTTTTTTAAGGTTTCACAATCTATGTTCTCAGGTACTTAATAATTATATTAGAGAGCTCTGACATTATGTAAATGGCTGCATGGTAAATTGGGTATTTAAGTAATATGTGATCCGTCTGTACAGAATTGATTTAAATGTCACATTGTTGAAAAACATATATTGCAATTAAAAACATAATGAATAATTAAATGAAAGCATAGTTTCCTGGATTCTACATAAACTTATAAACCTGAACTTTGTACAGCCTCCAATAGTAAGAATTATACTCCCACAGTGATGCATACATATAGAAATAGGAACTAAACAAATACTTGAACAGATTCTTCTCTTCAGTGAGGATATTCATGTAAAGCAACACTTTGAAGCTCCTTCACAAACCCTCCCAGAGAGAAAACGAATTGCAGTTGTAGAAAATAGCCCAAGGTTGGGTTGCAGTTCTCTGAACTTAGTTTTCTATTTTTGCTACCTATCTAGGCAATATCTTCAAATGCTATGATCTTGGAGAAAATTGATTCTCCAATCAATCTCTGACTTCTTCAAGATCACATCACTGAAGATTTTGCCTAGGCAGGCAATGATCTGTCTGAAAATGAAAATTTGCTGTTGTAAGAGGTACTTGATAAAGAGAAGCATGTTGCTTTCATGCTTTGATGAGGTGGTGCACTCATCCCATCATACAGCCTTTATGCACATGCATGTACAATAAAACACAGGATTGCACTATTTTATTTCACATATTAGTTTCAAGTCAATTTTTATATTTATATAATTAATAGACAAGACTGAACATCGACATCTTAGGAATCAGCAAACTAAAATGGACAGGAATGGTTGAATTTAATTCAGAGGACCATCAGGTATACTACTGTGGGCAAGAATCCCTCAGAGGAAATGGAGTAGCCTTCATAGTCAATAAAAGAGTAGGAAAAGCAATACTGGGATACAATCCCCAAAATGACAGAATGATCTCAGTGCGAATCCAAGGCAAACCATTCAATATCACAGTAGTCCAGGTCTATGCCCCAACCACTGGTGTTGAAGAGGATGAAATTGACTGATTCTATGAAGCCCTACAGCACCTTATAGAATCAAAACCAAAAAATGATGTCCTTATCATCATGGGGGATTGGAATGCTAAAGTAGGAAGCCAAAAGATAACTGGAATAACATGCAGGTTTGGCCTTGGAGTACAAAATGAAGCAGGGCACAGGCTGATAGAATTTTGTGAAGAGAATATGATGGTCATAGCAAACACTCTTTTCCAACAATCCAAGAGACGGCTCTACACATGGACATCACCAGACAGTCAACACAGAAATCAGATTGACCATGTGCTCTGCAGCCAAAGATGGAGAAGCTCTATAAAGTCAGTAAAAACAAGACCAGGAGCTGACTGTGGCTCAGATCATGAGCTTCTCATTGCAAAATTTAGGCTTAAATTGAAGAAAGTAGGGAAAAACACTAGGCCACTCAGGTATGAACTAAATCATATCCCTGATGAATATACAGTAGCGGTGACAAATAGATTTAAGGAATTAGACAGACAGAGTGCCTGAAGAACTATGGATGGAGGTTCGCAACATTGTACAAGAGGTAGCAACTAAAACCATCCCAAAGAAAAAGAAATGCAAGAAAGCAAAATGGCTGTCTGAGGAAGCTTTGCAAATAGCTGAGGAAAGAAGGGAAGCGAAAGGCAAGGGAAAAAGAGAAAGATACACCCAATTGAATGCAGAATTCCAGAGAATAGCTAGAAGAGATAAGAATGCCCTCTTAAATGAACAGTGCAAAGAAATAGAAGAAAACAATAGAATAGGGAGAACCAGAGATCTCTTCAAGAAAATTGGAGATATGAAGGGAACGTTTCATGCAAAGATGGGCATGATAATGGACCAAAATGGCAGGGACCTAACAGAGACAGAAGAGATTAAGAAGAGATGGCAAAATTACACAGAAGAACTATACAAGAACGAGCTTAGCATCCGTGATAACCACGATGGCATGGTCACTGACCTCGATCCAGACATCCTAGAATGTGAAGTGAAATGGGTCTTAGGAAAGCTGAGCAACAACAAAGCTAGTGGAGGTGACAGTATTCCAGCTGAGCTATTCAAAATCTTAAAAGACGATGCAGTAAAAGTGTAACACTCAATTTGCCAGCAAATTTGGAAAACTCAACAGTGGCCACAGGATTGGAAAAGGTCAGTTTACATTCCAATTCCAAAGAAAGGCAATGCCAAAGAATGTTCAAACTATCACACCATTGCACTCATTTCACATGTAAGTAAAGTTATGCTTAAAATCCTACAAGCTAGACTCCAGCAGTATGTGGATCGAGAACTTCCAGAAGTACAGGCAGGATTTCGAAGAGGCAGAGGAACTAGAGATCAAATTGCCAACATACGCTGGATCATGGAGAAAGCTAGGGAGTTCCAGAAAAACATCTATTTCTGCTTCATTGACTATGCTAAAGCCTTTGATTATGTGGATCACAACAAATTGTGGCAAGTTCTTAAAGAAATGGGAGTACCAGACCATCTTATTTGTCTCTTGAAAAACCTATATGCGGGTCAAAAAGCAACAGTGAGAACTGGACACGGAACCACCGATTGGTTCAAAATTGGAAAAGGAGTTCGGCAAGGCTGTATTCTGTCACCCTGCCTATTTAACTTATATGCAGAGCACATCATGAGAAAGGCAGGGCTAGATGAATCAAAAGTTGGAATTAAGATTGCTGGGAGAAATATCAACAACCAAAGATATGCAGATGATACCACTCTAGTGGCAGAAAGTGAAGAGGAACTAAAGAGCCTCTTGATGCAG